CCACCCTGCGAGCATGGGCCTATGGTGGATATAATATCGACAGTAGATAAACTTATCCCCGCGCATAGATAATATACGATAGCAAAGATGTTTTATAAAACATCTTTGTACGATAGTATAAAGCTATAAACTATACTAGCTATAAACTTCTTTTAAGGTTAAGTAGATTTACATTAACTTATATTTTCTTTTACCTTTTGTTTATTATATTGCTAAACTGTTAATAATTTTTGTTAAAAAATATGTCATTTATAATATTTGTTATATTTATTTTAAGCGTATTTCTGCCTTGTTTTTTATTTTTTCTATTATTCTAATTCTTTCTTTATTTTCTTTTGTATAATATTTAAGTTAAGTATACATTGCTTGTATCAAATCGCAGGTATTACTTCGCTTGTGATAGCATTTATTAAAAAAATATGTGTCTAGAATTAAACCAATTGCGAAACTGGATGATACAGACCCTTTGGAGGTGGTGTAACCTCTTGAGGAAATTAAAAAAAATTATCCCCGCAATTACTGCCATTATAAGAAAATTACAAAATACATCAAAATTGATGTCTACTCTAAGTCACAAAGATTTAATTTTAATTGAAAATGAAACATGAAGAATAAAAATGTAATGATTACAAACAATAATAAAAAAAAATTATCCCCGCAATTACTGCCATTATAAGAAAATTACAAAATACATCAAAATTGATGTCTACTCTAAGTCACAAAGATTTAATTTTAATTGAAAATGAAACATGAAGAATAAAAATGTAATGATTACAAACAAAACAAGGAATAAATAATTTTATAATCATGAGTATTGTGTTATTTGTATTCCTAATATTATGTATATTAGTCTTAAAACTTGTATTTACCTACACAAGAGGCTAATTAAAGTATATTGCTCCACACATTCTAATGATGGCCCCAATAATTTAGGTCAAGTATTTGCTGATTATTTGTTGTTTGAACAACAGCCATGCCATGGTCTTGAATCGTACCTCTCTAGTAGGTAACTACCTTCTGCCAAGAGACTGAAGGATGTAAACTACCTACCTAGAAAAAATATTAAGATAAGTTACATAAGCCACATGTATTGTTTGCAAATATACGATGTTTTTGGACAAGGTGGTTGTAATAGATGCTTACTTCAATATGTACTGGTAGTCCATCCACAGAAGTAATAGGCTTTAAAGCCTCATAGAGTTCTTTACACAAATACAAAACAATATTTGAGCATCTGAAACCGGCGTAGAAATTCGTTGTCGGAGAATTCCAATAGATTAAGTATTCTGATCAAGTATCCATCGCTGGTGTAATTTTCTTTCTTGTTTTTCAATTTCTGACACGAAAATGTAGTTGCAATAGGCTCGAGACATCTTTTTCGTATTAAAATGGTTTGAAGATAAACTTAAACCCACGTTCGCGAAAGAGGATAAAATTGTCCCTTTCAAATGTCAAAAAGGGATAATTTTTTCTCTTTCCCTTGGCCTCATGCTACAGACGGGGAGAAATATGTCTACTCGTTATGTCAAACGGGGATATACTATAGAGATAAGATAATTTTATCTCTTGTCAGTGGATATAATCGGGGGATATAATTTTTGTCTCTTGCTCATGCTCGCAGGGTGGATAAAACTAAGCAAGGGATAAAATTATATCCTCTCTCCGGGGATATATTCTCTCCGGCTCATGCTAGCCCGGCAGCTTGACATTGATAAAATCCATAAACTCCAAAAAAAAAAACAGCTTGACATTGGCCTAAAGGTCTAGATACCATACCGGGCCATAAACTCCAAAAAAAAAAAATCAGCTTGACGTTTGACGTTTACGATTTGTTGTTTTATTTGGTTTTGTATTTGTATTTTAGTTTTATTCAAGTTTTTAGATAAAAATTTGAAGCACCTACTGAAATTCCTTAAGTATTAGGGTTACATTACGTTCCGAGCAAGTATACAGTTTATTATTCATAAATTTTAAAGGGTAACATTTTACGGAATGATTTTACAATCGTTTTGTCCAATTCTTATACATATTCCTCAATAGGAAGAAAACTGGTTATTATATAACTCAGGGTAATCGTAATAGTTTATTTATTATCAAAAGTCGACTGCTGAAGATATGCCTCCCTATAGATTGTCTTATAAGGGGGAATTTGCCGTAGGTTTTTTAATATCTTGAGTTGTTATCAGGAATATGCTGCTGCCGATCTGTTGTACTATCCCTGTGCCGCCTCTTACGACACCAATGGGATAATATGGGGTAGTGGATTCTCGTACGCCACCATTGCACTGCTACAGTAAGAGTTCTAGCTCTTATCCTGATGGCAAGTTGCTATTGTCATCTATAGACACTTGTAGCAAACTGCATACAGAAATTATATGCCTTGTCATCCCGGTTAAAATTAATTTCCTTTGAATTGGGGCACAATAAGATGTCTAAGAAAAGAATGAACTCTATGCCTCCAACAGAAAATTAATTTAATATTATAATATGAAGGAATTCATTTAATTTATTCTACTATATACATATAATTGTACCGTGTTGTGGTAGTGTAGGAATACCCAATACCTCATATCATCCTGTGCATGTCATAAGAGGTGACAGAGGGAAATTAAAACAGGAGATGGGTTGTAGCATCTCCCTGATGACAGTTGAATAAAAAAAAATATGTGTGGCACTCGGTGACTGCCGCGGTAAAGCTATTGCATAGCATTTTTTATCAACTTATGCAATTATAATTATTTATTTATTTTATTTATGCAGTTAAGTCTTTGATATTAAATCAAGTTACACTTTTTGAGTGTGGTGACCGATAAGAAAACAATTTTTTTTCTCTTATTGAATAAATGAGAAGTTAATATTGTTTAAAATATTTTTAGTATCTTACAATACATAGGTTATTCAGGAATTTTTATCATTGAGTTAGCAGCTAGTGTACACGCATATGTCTAGTCGCACGCACACAAACACCGTGCCGAAGTCTGCCGAGTGTCGAAGTCTGCCGAACTGAAACAACGTTAGACGATGCACGGCTTTCAACGCCACACCTCCGTGCCCGTCGGAGTGGAGAGCGTGAGGTTTTTTTCGTTACGGAATTTCTGGATTCGGTCCCCGCGCTCAAGGCCCGCGATAGAAGCTATGCAATAGCTTAAAAACTGTAACTGCCAAGTGTGATTGACAGCTATGGCAAAATCCCCCCAATAAGGCAATCTATGGAGGAGGCCTAATATATTCAGCAGTGGAATTTTATAGCCTATAAAATATTGATAGATAGAATAATGAATAATTATATTACATTCTGTTTGCAGATATAATATTATGACAATATGAAATTTTGTGAAATTTATAGTGTTACTCTCATAAGTTGTACAGGCTGGGTTCAAAGGACATTTAAAATAAAATTAAATAGGTGAGATCATTCTTTATATTTTATTAAGTATCTATTTATCAATTAGTGTAGAGCGACCCCCACTAGACGGAGTGACGACCTGGTAAGACATGCAGGAAGTTGACGGATGCAGGTGGCTCAGGACCATGCTTTGTGGCATTCCTTGGGGGAGGCCTATGTTCAGCAGTGGACTTGTGAAGGGCTGTAATGATGATGATGATGATGATGATCAAGTTCCCATTTGCAAGATGATGAGTCTGATATTTGAAAAATAAAGTTTCAATATAACCATGTTTTCTCCATGGTATCTGGTTAAAACTATTTTTAAAAGGATGTCTGTTTCATTTGGATGTATGTAAGTAAACTTAATAAAATGATGATATTGTTCCAAAACCAGTGGAACCTTAATCAGTTATAGCTGGAGAGCTAGTGAACCCTCCGAGTAACGGTCTTTCTGTATGGTTGTCCATTGACTTCGCCCATAGATTACCTAATAGAGGAGATATTTTCTATATCGTGCCATGCAGGCAGGTTGCCAACCACTGTCTTATGTTTATTTAGTATGAATTGTTATCAGGAAGATGAATGTTATAATCTTAACAAAACACAGTACTTACTGAGACAACAACTGATTTATTTTATAACACAATTACTTACATTAATAATAATACAAATACCTACCACATTTCCCCATATTTATAAAGCCAATATATAATTCAACTCGCTTTTAGAAAATAAATAAAGAACTTCTTATACTATCTTATCAGGTAAACAACTCAGGAGATGGTTTGTTGATGGTTATATAACTTAATAATGTTGAGAAAAAATAATACCATCCATCAACTCGCATGCTAAGCATGCCAACTATACCAAATATATCCTTATGATTATACTTGAGCCATGCTGCAGTAATATTAGTAGTATAGTTGTAGCATGAATGGGTCGGCTCGACCGGGGAAGGACCACACTCTCGCAGAATACCATCGTAAAGGGTGAACTGTGTGCTCGTTTGTCACCCTATCCTATAAAAAATGATGCAATCTGTGGGGGTCTTATGTTTAGCAGTGGTTTTTAATGTGTTCTAATCATTTAAATAAAATTAGTTTTTACTTTCGCTAATTCCTTATCTGTAAAGTGTGAAATAACGCTCGATTGATATGAAATAATTTCTAATCTAAAAACAATAAAACAGTAAGTAAACATTGTATTGTATTTCTAAAATGGTGATACTTACTGGTAGGGCACTGTCACTTGCAAACGGCTACAACCATGAAAAACCAAGACGATTGGCATGTTTGTTAAGAGAGAGAAATCAAGAAATGTATGTGTTCTGAGATGAAAATCAATACTCATTTATTGGACTGAATAAATTTCCCCTGTTTCCTTTCAGTTTTGGATGCAGGCATTGCATTACCTAGAGATTTTTTTGATGGCAACTCTCTTAATTTTGGAAATTACCGACAATGCCTAGGAATCAATGTTCCTTTCAAAAATTCAAATATCGTTGAAAGTGCGATACAAATCCTCATAACCAAGAATTAAACTTGCCTGGATCATTTGGATCGTCAGAATCAATCAGTATTAGTTTAGCATTATTACAGCAATATAATGCTATTTGGAGAGGTTATCAAGCATTTTCTGCATAGATTTTGAAGACAGGTACATATACATATATACATTTTACATAGTTTTCATTGGTACATAATTAATCTTAAGAGATCCAATCAGTTAACTCATTTTTACGACATTCAAGTGATACTGTAGCCACTCGACAAGCTTTATCTCTATATCAATTGTTAGTTTTCGAGCTATATGTGGCTGACTCAATGGCACTTCGGCCTAGTACTGGCAAGTGCAATGTTGGACCACCTCTACTAGATAGAGTGATACCTGATGAACAAGCAGCCTGTTGTTGGATGTTGGTGACTCAGGGCTGTACTTTGTGTCTAATTTTGAGGGAGTTCGAGGCTGTAGTGATAATGATAGTGAGTTTTACTGTTGTTCACAGTCCCTCTAATGTGAAATCTTTGAATTCAATTATTTGCCTAGTCTGATCTTTACTCCGTTTTGGAGAGTGATTATGAAATGCCTCACATGCAGACTCTATAACTTCCAGCTACCTGGACAAGCCCCTTACCAACCCTTAAAAATTGTACATAAGACTGAAAAGTAAAATCTGCCACTTTGCCTGTGTTTGTAGACTTAAAAATCTTTTGATTCCGTTGAAATTTTGGCGGTGCTACAGCTATAGTATATAAAACAGTTTTTATTTAGGGTCCCAATAATATAGTTCTTTTGAAAATGGGGTGTAAAGTGAGCATAAATTCCACCCGATAGCGGAACCCATAGAACTTTTAACCATTAATAAATAGTTTATGTCTACACCATTGTCACTATTGAGGTCAGATAAAATGCCTCACAGCTTGTAAATATATTGGCTCATTTATTCTCCAGACTGAAACTAATGGGGCACTGTAATTTGTTTGAAATACATGGACTAACATGCAGAAAAGGTGACCTTTTAACTTCTCTATATGCTTAACTTTGTACACATAAAGATGACGATTTCCACCTACAACAAAAGTATTGTAAATATATATCCACCGAGTTCTAATATTTATATTACGTTAATTTATGTCAATGTTGTTTCTATAAGATAACAAGAACGCTGGTTCTTTGCTCAAATTAAGTTTCTCAAAAATCCTAAATAAATGATATCAGCTTTCTTTTCACTCTCCCACGGTTATGTTCCCGTGGTTATGCTACCTAGATTATATAAGCTATTTTAATTTTTATCTTTATAAATATAGTATATATTAAGTTAACTTACAATGTATGTTTCAGATCCACACCTGGAGGTCCATTTCAAGATTCTGTCTTGAGATTGGCAGTATGTATTCCTCGAGCTTGTACTACGAAGGAGGCTATATCGGCTTTGCTGTTTAACGTCAGTGCTCGTGGTTTTGAATACAAAGACTATTATTGTCGTCTACCTAACGACAAGCAATGGGTACCCGCTAACAACTGCAGTGTGATTATTTTATAATTACTTGCTTTCCAATTGTATAATGTAGTCTTTCGATGTGATTTTGAAATTTTTCTGTTCATGGTCATTACACCAAAAGACCAGGAACATTGTGTATAGTTACCGGCTGCAGTATTCTACCGCGTCATCACCTGTACAACTGACGAATTTATCAACTCCGTCGGAGAGTGTATAAAGTGTCACTAATTTAGTTAAGCACTCAGTAATGTAATCTACCTGTGTGCGATATAACGCTTCTGTGATAAGAGCGGAGGTAGGCTAGGATGCAGTGTGAAAAGCTGTGTAAGCTTTGCACAAATTTTGATATTGCTGAAGTTTGAACAGACAACTAAGTTAGAAATGCTCCGCCAGTTAACACCTTTAGTTAATACACCATTGTATATACTTGCATATTATAATACACATGGGTAATGGGCCAATGAACTGTTTTCTTAATGCCAATATTATCTACACACGGTGTTTATAGCCGATTGAGTAGCAACTGGTTGTGAAAAATCTGTAACAAATTGCTGAAACTAAATTCGACTGTGACGCGGTGTAGCATCATTAGTGCATGGGTATTAGTGGCAGTGTAAACATAATCTAAAAGAAACTCCTAATTATAATTTATTTATTGATATAAAAAGTTTCTTCTTTCTAAATTTTTAAGCTTTTAATTTGTCCCCAGAATAAAAATACACTTTAAATTAGCCAACTTAACTTGGCTTTAACTTTATTTCTTAAGCTTTTTAATTTCTTGTTGAATTTTTTTGAATCGGCTTTGAGAGGAGCCACTTTTGCAACTTTTGCTGCATCTTAATCTACTGGCTACAGGCTGCAACTAGCTATAGCCCCTGAAAATGAATACATCAACAGCATTAAAGGTGCAATATGTCTGGCACTTTGATTGTCAATCTGCTTGCCAAGATTCTTCTACATTTACCATTAAATATTATGAATATGCCTTTGATTCTTGTTCTTTCTTCCGTATTCTATCCCATATCATTCCGTAGGTGTAGTGAGTGGTGGCAGAGGGAAATTAAGAGATGGGGAGCAGCATCTTTTTGATAACTCCCAAAGCAATATGTAGCAGCTATGGCAAATATGGCCCCACTTTGGGGGAGGCCTATCTTCAGCAGTGGACTTTTGATAGGCTGTAATGGATATGGTAAAGGGGTATATCAGCTCAATCCTCAGTTCAGACAAAAATTCTTCCACACACACTTGGCACATTTTTAGAAATGCTCATGATATATTTTAAAAGGCTGTTAGATTTTTATTGAATTAAGTATGACAAACGAGAATACAGTCCACCTGATGGGTAAACTAATTAAGAATAAAAATGCAAATACATCATCATCATCATTACAGTCTTTCACAAGTGCACTGCTCAACCGAGGTCTCCCCCAAGGCATGCCACAAAACACGGTCCTGAGCCACCTGCATCCATCGACTTCCTGCATGTCTTACCAGGTCGTCACTTCATGTAGTGAGGGGACGCCCTACATTGCGCCTACCGGTTCGAGGCTGCCACTCGACATAATTAAAAAAACATATAATTAAAAAAAATCCCCATCGGTTATGGGTTCTTCAAGCTATATGGCCGTACTAATCCATTGGGCACTCTGTTTCTACTGCGGATATCCTCATTCCTAAGTTTATTAGGCAGAGAAACTCCGAGCATAGCCCTCTCCGTAGCTCGCTGAGCGACTTTGATCTTCCTCATACAGCCAGCAGTGAAGGACCACGTCTCAGATCCATAAGTCATCACTGGCAAAACGCACTGGTTGTACAAGGTGGAGTGCATTGTTTTTTTTTCAAAAGAATCTCCGGTGTCATCATTCTCCATATGAAACATTCGGTTGAATTGACTCATTTGTGCTCCATAAATACTTCATTGTATTCGCTTCAGCATTGCTGTATCATGTACAGACCAACAACTTATAAAAGCTGTTTGGTGGGATGTAATGCTACAACATAATTTTTAAGTATTGGCAAATGGGGAGGGTATTAATAGGCCAACATTACATAAAATAGCCTCCTTGATCATCAGCTATGTTTTTTGTAATAGGATGGGGTGACAAACGAGCACACAGTCCACCTGATGGTAAGTGGTTGCTGCGGCCCATAGACATCTACATCTATCCTCGATTACAAATCAAAATGCAGATGTGTTGTCACTAAGATGGAATGCCTCGTTTCTAGTAAAAAGGGTCTCTGGTTCTCTACACTCACCATACGAAATACAGCAACGTTAAGCTACTATTTCACCCTGGTATTCTGTGAAAGCGTGGTCCTTCCCCGGTCGAGCTGACCCTTTCATGCTAAAACTATACTTCTAATATGACTGCAGCATGGCTCTACCGCGTATAATATTCCTGCAGCATGGCTCTACCACGTATAATATTGCAGCATGGCTCTACCACATATATGTTCATAAAAAATGAGATAAGTTTTATTGTTGACGTTCTGGCAGCATAGAATACCTACTATTTTCTTGCGTGTATTTTTTACCACTGTATCTAGCTCTAAGTCCACACCACTCGCTTGACTTCTTCTGTCTCTAAGTTTCCGTGCACACACTAGTCTTAGGGCTTAAAGGGTGATCCCAGTATGATAACAGGCTATGAGGCATTCTGAATCTGTGTTTATTGACCTTACATCCTTGTGCAGGTGCACATAGGCTGCAGTAGAAGTTTACTATTAAGTAGAATCTAAGCTATTTTGTTATTTCAAAATTAAGTTTCCCCAATTAAAATAAATATGTGACGTCAATTATGCTGGTATTTTTTGGGTGAATGTTGAATGTATGATTTATTTCTTTTTGTTTTAGAGTCACATTAACAATAATTAGATTTTGACGCAACTGAGCACTATGTGTGAGTTAATACACACACATCTACATCTTAAAGCAAGGTTGGTATTGCATTTAAAATTATTTTCTGGCAGTATCTTTAGAGCGCTTTTAAATAGACGATACTTAGTCGACAACGTAGCCGGCGGCATCGTTTTCACATACCCGTTAGTACGGAGTTATAGGGACAAAAGGTCGGCTGGCTGGGTTTTAGAAGAACAAGCTCAACTCATGTCGTGCTACTCATAATATATTGTATAGCTAATGAGCAAGATCCCCGACGATTCGTGTATCCGCTTTACAGCAGCCATGGTCCTCCTCGTGGGGATTGGATTGAAGTGTTCGATGTTCCAAAGTCACAGTTAACCTAGGCTCCCTTCGGATTAAAATTTTGAATTTTATGAATTTTCTGTCTTCATTTTGGTATTTTCATTTAAATGAGTGTACTGTTCGCGTAAACACGAGGAATTATTATCAGAGATATATTTAAGGAAACTCCCTAATCATAATTTATATAACGACATAAAAAGTTATTTTATTCTCTCTTATCTTTAGATGTTTGTTTTCGAACATTTTGTCTCCACAGTAGTTGCATTTACCATTAAATATTATGAATATGGTTTTCTTCACTTGTTTTGTAGAAAATCATACAGTAGAAGATACTCTTTTGTTCTCTGTATGACTGTTTTAAAAAAATAGAATAAGCGTGATAAACGAGCACACAGTCCACCTGATGGTGAGTGGATACTGTGGCCCATAGACATCTACATTTATCCTCGCTTAAGAATCAAAACGCAGGTGCGTTGTCACCCCTGAGGAATAAGACGGAATGCCTCGTCACCAGTAAAAAAGGGTCTCCGGATCTCTCACTCACTCTACACTGCACTCACCATACGAAACACAGCAGTATTAAGCTGCTATTTTGCGCTGATATTCTATGAGAGCGTGGTCCTTCCCCAGTCGTGCCGACCCATTCGTGCTACAACTATAATATAGCTCCAGCGTGACTCTACCACGTAGACTGACGAAAAATTTCGCTACTTAAAATCACACTTTAACATCTTCGTTGATATCCATTGAAGATTTTAAAGTGTGATATCAAAAGTAAAACTAATAAAAAAAATTAACACTTGTGCAACTTACTCGCGTTGAAAGGTTCACAACTTTCCGGCCACTAGAGCGCCATTGTAGAATGAGATCAATATTTTAAATATTTAACAGATTTCATGGAGGGGAAGTGTTAATGTTAGGAAAATATAAAGGTTAATGTTTTTTTCTGAAATATTAATTATATTTTATATTTATTACATTTGAAACAGATAAATTAAACTTCGGTTGTTTTTAAAATTAAAAACAGAGTTAAAATGTACAAAATAATAAAAAGCAACCACTAAGGAATTGTTTTCTGTATGTAAGTACATAACATTAGAAACAGAAAAGCTTTTATTTGAAACGCAACTTTTCACCTATAGTGTGTGTGTAACAAATAACTTCACTTCAGTCCCAGTGCTCTTGCTCTGTGACGATAATTGTTGTACTATTTTGCAATGACGTCGATAATGCAATTGTAAAATTGCTCTTAGATATAAGATTATTTTCAATGTTTTTTTTTAGTTACTTAAGTAGTAGTTACTTAGTTATCACAAGCTTGTTATAAGTTTATAAGCTATTATTTTATGCTATATATATACGCTATTTATATGCTTTTATCTTCATTGTAGTCACGACGCAAATGTCAAAATCTATTCAGTAGATGGACCTTATGTTTATTAATTTGTATCCCAGTACCCAGGAAAAGGAAAAGGAGAGAGAGAGAGAGAGAGAGAGAGACAAAAAGAGTCATAGAGAGCCACAAGATGTAACGCATTCCAAATTAGTCCTCGGAGGTGACAAAGCACCGTCAATTTATTAAAACATTCACGTAAATTTTACATCACCTTATGTATTACAGAATATCAAAATATGTATACAATAAAAGATGTTCATTGTACCTATAACTCCATAAAATATCTATAAATATTATTATTATTTTATAAGTTTATAACTTATGAATATTTTTCTGTTTTAGATCCAAAGAGCGTAAATTTTGCCAACCGTTGCTTCTCTTTGTGTAACAATACTCGTCTCCTAAGCTTCTCCAAAAACGCTGATTCCTTGACGTCATATGAATAATATCAACACTGTCATCATAGGCCATGCATTTTCTTCTGTCACCGTTTTACTTGTTACGTTATTTAAATGTAATCTTTTCGACTTTAACTTAAGCATTCACGACTTCTGCTGCTCAGGAGTGAGGTGAAACATTTGACAGATTTTAGAACAAGGGAAGTTTTGTTAGAAAAGTGGAGAAATTTATGTTTCTTTCCGAAATATGAGTTATATTTTCTATACATTAGATAAGAAAGGACAAACCAAGCTACGGATATTCCTAAAAGTAGAAGAATCAAAAAAGAGTTAAAAATGCACTGAGTCATTGTTTTTTTTACACTAGGTACTGACTATGATAATGACACTGTGTGACCATCTGCGTAAAAATTAAATTCACCTCAGTCCCAACTAGCGGCCTCTGGTGAACGTGGAATTATTAGCTCTCATTGAAATATATTTTTCTCTTTTTTTCTATACGTTGTATTTTTGCGAATATAAGTTCTATAATATATTTTTATAACTAAACTCCAATTTTTATGCGTATGAATACGGAACTATTTTATCAAGTTATGGTTTTTGCTATCATTGCCTATATTAATTTAACGTGGTTACAGTAGTTGGTATCAGCTGAGTCAGTATGGATTACTGCAACTCCTATCTCAGTGAACACGTTTTGTGTAATGACTAGAATTCCGTTAGTGTTCACAACTGCAAAGAAAAGCGATGGAAGTAAGCTTACTCTATGAATATTGGTCTATTATTATCAGATACGATGTCGTAAACAGTACAATAATGGAAATTTACATCATCTGATTTTAAATCTAAATCCATTATTTCCTTTTGCTTGCTTATCGGATAAATGATCGTAGGTAGCGCGATAAAGTAATGTAATTTATAAACAAAGTGAAAATATTCGATAACTTCAATGACATAGTCATATTATATAATCTAGAGTACCTACCTATAGATAAATCTTCTCGTATCCTTGTTTGGATTACAACGTTTATTTTACATTACGCACATACGCACGCAAGCACGCACGTTTGCACGCACGCTAGAACGCACTCAGGTGCCTCGTTATACGTTGTTATATATGTCTTTAGAAACTTATCAATTTTATGGCTTGTTTATTATTTATTAGAAGAAATTAAATTGTTTCATTTCCAATGTAAGATGTTAGTGTAATTTATTATTACTCTAAATAAAGTAAACGAAATATTGTAAAGCTTAGCTTGATAAGAGCCTACCTACTCTTGCCTTAAAGACATCTATCTACATTTTAATTGGATGGAAAGACAGATGTTGTTAACTTATTCAAAGCATTTGTTGTACAACTTTGTTTTACAACAAATGCTTTGAATAATTAACACTAATACACATTCTGAACGATGTATCAATCCATTTGATGATTTGTCAAAAACAAAGGGATGAATGTCAATGTCATAAAATATGTTAAAAATAAGACCTGCCTTGCATCTGGTATTTGGGACCCCTCAGAAAATTTTGTAAAACTAAAAACAAAAACGAAAAATAAAATAATGATGTATATCGATGAAGCGGTACTCGACGCAACGCTATCCTCTTCACGTGAAGGTGTACGTGAAGATTCTAGTGAACGCTTCCCAACCGAGTCTGCATAATGTGCTGAATCTCTTCATACATAATTCGTCTATTCACTCCAACAAAATTTTTGATTGCTAGCATGTGGCAGGGCGAGCACTTCTTTCTTCATCTACCAAAGTTAGTCAACAGTGTTGAAATTTGTTTTACCAACAGAACACTGTTGTCTTAGAAGGAGTTTTATCCATATTTTTTTTTAAATAATAATAATAAACATAATAAAATATTTATTCATTGACCAAAAGTAACAAAAAATTTAAAAGTTAAACTACCTAATACAAAAATAATATTGTAAGAAGGACAATGAAAGGGTTCTGACTCAGCATGTGTTGCAGAAAACCTACAACGCAGTTATTCCGTCAGCACCCGTATACTTATTAACTAGAGTATAACAGTACGCGTACATCACTGATTATATTACAAATAGTAATTGATTTGTTTGATTATTTATTCAGCCAGTACAAGAACCATAGATATAAGAAAGAATCGTTAATCGTTAAATCGTTACTATTAGTAGAGTATTAATTAATATTAATGTACAGAAGATGAACATAATATAACCAAAATATAAACAAAACATATGCAAAAAATGATAGTAAAGGTAAGAGCCACAGTAGCGTTTAATTTATTCAGACTATGGTATAATTATACTAAAACAACATAGAAGTTATCAAATAGGAATATTGGTAGTAAAAGTTATATAATTTAAATAATAAGTATGATATTTTTTGCGCATTTAATAAATACTCTTTGTATTTTCTCTTAAAATTATTCTTATTTGTTATGGCTCATAATCGTATTTTATTTCAAACAATATAACAGCCACTGGCCAGTGTTTTTAAACGTTTTTTCGCAATTTTTTTAGCGTGGCCTCTCGCATAATAAAACAAAGTCAATATTATAAATAATGTTACTTAATATACGCATGAATTAAGGCCTCTTTAAAATTTGTAACGCGAGCAAAATAACAAACGTAAATCCGCTTTGGGAGGCATAGTTTCTGGAAGTACGTTCATGTCTCGAAATTTCGTAGCTTAATGAAAATTGCCTTCCAGTATGCGTATGTTCTTTTTGTAGAATTGATCGTACATTGATTTTATGTACACAATAAGTATATTTATCGTTAACGTAGACATCTGTTATTATAATAGACATGTATTTGTAATATTTGCAAATTAGGTGTATATTAAATATTAATATATTGTGTGACACGTAAATTTAACATTTATTTA